TACACAAGAAAAGTTATAATTGCTTATTCTATTTTAATCATTGTTAGAAAAAAAGTAGATATTATTTAAACTAAAGTAATCATTGGTGTTTACTTTTTTGGGGTCAAGATAATTAATTTTTTAAATTTTAAATTGAGAATATTTTAGTCATTTCATCAAAAATTATTAATTTCAAATAAAAGGCCTCTAAGGACTTAAGTAAAATTATGAACTTTCATGGAACTTCATTACCATTTACATATTTTAGATTGTTATTTTCCCAAACTCGAACGTGAAATAAAAATATTGGATTTTCTTGCCACTTAATCCGGCTATTTTCAGCTATGTGAACAATTGTTCATCAACTTGTCATACTTATCTTCATTTTGTTGTACAAAGATCACAACAATTTGCTGTGATTAGTCCTCACTTTCCACTAGCTTCATTAGTAAAGAGTCAACTGTGATTATCTAACCAAGAAAACATTTTACAAGTGTTATAACAATTGGATCAAATTGGATGGCTTGATCAGTTGGATTGGAAACCCATTTGGTTATAGCAAAAAAACTGCATAACTTGAGAACTAGTCAAAAATCGGTTAAAAACGAATCAAAACCTATAAAGCTAGTGGGGTAAACTAGTTGAACCAGTCTTGTTATTTTAAAAATTTTTAATTCTTTTTTTTAGTTTTAATTTATATTTATAAACTATAATATGTGTGTGTGTGTGTACACACATACTTTTTTATACCTAATAGCATTGATAAATAAAAAAAAATGAACAAATATGCAAGAAATATGTATATATTAGAGATAAATTATAAATTATGAAATAATTATATATATTTTGAATTAAAATGATGGAATATTGATGAATATTAATTTTTATTTTTATTATTTTTATATTTAAAAATTTATTTTTATTATACATAATTATTTCTTTTTATTTTAAGCATATATATATTTTTTAAATATATCAATTTATCAATCACTAGCCAAACCAAGGTTTAGACCACAGCTTGTTTATTGAACTGTGAACTAATATCTTGATCTATTCAATAACCCATCTAGTTTTCTAGACGTTGCATTTTTTAATTTTTGTGGCATGTTAGGTTTCTATATTGTTGGCTAACTACCTTCACCACCTAACTCACAAAAAAATTTATATTGTTTGTTCCATCTCTTGGTGTCTTGGAAGCATGAGATATTATTACCAGTAGCTCAAATTAATCTAAATAATCAAATCCTTATTGTATAAGATTGTTATTATCAATAGTGATCTCACAAGTAACTCAAGATGCCTTTGACATTTTTAGTTAATATAACTGTGTATTTTAAAACTCAAACTCAAAATTTTAGGACAAATTTATTCAACTTTCTTCACAAGTTAAACCTGAAGTCTGATAATTTTTTTAGATATGATTACGTTAGATTTAGGCATTGTTGAGATTAAATGAAGATGAATGTTTTAAAAGCATTTTCTATATATATATATATATATGAACTCAAACTCGAGACCTTTTACTTAAACAATTCTAATCATTTCCACTATAATAAATACATATGGTGTGGTCTTATAAATTTTATTATGATATATTAATATTTGATGAAAATTCATATTCTCATGTCATATGATATATCATCCTTATATAATATAAAAATTATAAGATGTTATATATTATTTATAAATAAGGAATAATCTAATGTATCTCAGATTTCATTACTTACAGGTTAATTTTTGCAGAGTGAAAACTGTTATATCAAGAGATTGTGTTTTAATGTTAACTTCGAGACCTAAACTTAGTGTTTCAAATCTAATTTCTATTAAATGTTTGTTTGGCTGTTTCTGCTGAACTGGTTTTATTTCTCAAATCTCGATTTTCCTATGTATTGCTTTTACTAAACTGAATTTTTTTAAACAATTAATTTTCTTAACATGATTTTGATATTTAAACATATAATATATATTATGCAGTAAAGAGTAGGACTATAGGATCTTTCATGGAGACACTCCCTCTAGTCTACGGTCTGCATTTATAAAAGGGATTTTATTATTTTTTTAATAATAGAGAATTTTTACTTTTTATTCTTGAAAAATATAAAAAGATTAAGTATAATATGATAAAGAGTATATGCAAAAAGCGTTTCTAATAAATCAGTACAAAAGTGAAATATTAAATTACTTTTACACTACCATTTTAATTATCTAACTAGTGTTTGCTCTTTATTATAATTTAATTAAAAATATCTTATATTAAAATAGAGGATCCAAGCTATGTTGAAATTCAACGTGATTGTGAACTGGAAGTGATCATTCTCCTCACAATAGAGCAGAATCTGTAGCACTTATTCCATGACGTCATCATTCATGAATTTGCTAATTTTTGTGAAAATTGGCATAGCTAATGATTTAGTTAGGATTTCGGAAAGCTTGTGATCTTAGTTCTGATTCATTGCATCTTCAATTATTGATCTCTTACCTCTTTTTTTTAATTATTGGAGGACCTGAATTTTGGAAGATAATTATTAGCTCCTTTTATTTGTTTTTTTCTTCTTGTAATTATTTTTATTTCATTTGTGATGTAAACAAATTAATTTTTTTTTATTTAGAGGAATAAGCACTAACAACATGAAGTTATAAAGTTATAATGCACCGACACTTCTTCATTCATGTTGTGCTTTGACATGAAGATGGAGAATCAATTATTAAAATTTTAAATTATCTAAATTCTTTTGTGACCAGAAAGAGTCACGCTTTATAAAACTACACCAATCTGTAATAGGAATTGATGGATGAGTAGGCTCCCCATTTCAATTTATGGAATGTGATATGGGCATCATGGGGATTAGTTTCATACTTAGCTTGGTTATTAGTGCATGTGAAGTCTAAATTGAGAGATGTGATTTTGATTTTGAGATGAAACTAGATAAGTAAGGAAGTCTTTTTCAAGAATGAATAATAACTTTGGAGAATGTAATTCAATGCAATCGTCTTTTTCAAAAATGAAAACACATTGGTAAATAGTTAGATAGGAAATTGATAATTACGTGCCTTATAAAAATAATAATAATAATTACAAATTTTAAATTATTAAAATTTAAATAATAGATCATGATTTTTATTTGTATTAAATTATTTTTTATTGATTAATTTAAGATGAATGATAGATTTTAGTAAATTTTCAACTAAAACTATAAATATTTTTAACTATCTTTTGTTGAGTTTTCAAGCAATGACAAAAAATTACAAGTGATTGTCATAAATTCTCAACTGACATTACAAATAATTTTAAATATATTTAGTAAAATTTTCAATTGATTTATTTATATATTGAAAGCAAAAAAATACAAGTAATTGGTTTGCAATTCATAATTGACTTGTAAATTCTTAACTTAGGTTATAAATAATTCCAAATATATTCACTTGATTTTTTAAATGATTTATCTGTATATTAACATTAAAAAATCAGATTCTCAACTAATTTTTTTATAAATTCTTAATTAATATTACAAATAATTCTAAGTATAGTTAATAGATTTTTCAACTGAGTATTTATTTTTTTAATTATAAGTAAGGTCCATAGTTTTTTTATTGAAATTTTAATAATTTAATATTTATAATTGTCGTTAATATTTTTACAATTAGTTGGATCTCTCCATGTATTCCATCTTTTCACACTTCGTAGCTTACTTATAAAAAGTTTATATGTTATTATATTGATATTGTTTTTTGTTTAGAAGATTGAAAATTAATTATTGAGATTTTGGATTATCCAGACTCTTCTTTGATTAGAAGAGCCGCACTTCGTAAAAATATACCAATCTTTGATAGGATTTGAAGGATGAGTATGCTCCCCTTTCACAGAATGTGATATGGGGTATGATGGGGATTAACTTCATACTTAGCCTCATTATTAGTGTATGTGAAGTCTATATTAAGAGATGTGATCTTGATTTGAGATGGAACTAGATAAGTAAGAAAGTCTTTTTCAAGAAAGAGTAAAAAGTTTGAAGAATGTAACTCAATGCACTTGTCTTTTTCGAAAATGAAAATACATTGGCACATAGTTAGATGGGAAAATGATAATTAGAGACCCTATAAAAATATTAATAATAATTACAAACATCAAATTATTAAAATCTTAATAACAAATTATGATCCTTATTTACAATAAATTACCTCTTATTGATTAATTTAAGATTCACAATGAACTTTAGTAAATTTTTAATTAATGTTACTAAAATTTTCAACTATTTTTGTTGATTTCCTAAATGATAGTAAAAATCACGAGTGATTGATTTATAATTCATAACTAATTTTCATAAATTTTTAACTAATATTAAAAATAATACAAAATGTATTTAGTAGAATTTTTAAGCAATTTATTTATATATTAAAAGCAAAAAAATTATTAATTGACTTGCAATTCATAATTAACTTTCGTAAATTCTCAATTAAGATTATAAATAATTTTAATTATATTCACTTAATTTTTTAAATGGTTTATCTGTATATTAATAATAAAAAAATAAAATTCTTAACTAACTTCCATAAATTCTTAATTAATATTATAAATAGTCTTAAGTGTAGTTAGTAGATTTTTTAACTGAATATTTATATTTTTTTAATTATAAATAAAGACCATAATTTTTATTAAAATTTTAATAATTTAAAGTTTGTTATTATTATTAATATTTTAACAGGGCCTTTAATTATCATTTTCCTTGGTTAGATCTCTCCATGCATTCCATCTTTTTGCACTCCGTAACTCACTCGTAAAAAGCTTACATGTTGTTAACTGACATTTTTTTTTTAAAAAAAAAAAATTACATGTCAATTGATTATAACACAAGTAATTCAATCACAGAAACTAGGCATAGGAGATTAGCGAGATGGAAAATCAAAAGCATGTGTTGTTCAATAGGAAAGGAGGGCCCTATATGCCCCCCACAACATCAAGCGGGTCCCACCAGAACAATCCAACCAGCATCTTAATCCACAGACATCGTCGTCTTCATCACTCTCTCTCACAAACTTTTCCTCTGCAGCTCCTTCCTCCTTCCTCGGGTTTGTTTTTCCTTTTGTTTTCCGTTTCACTTCTAAAAATAATATTAATAATACTTGAATAAATTATTCTCTCTTCGATCCATTTTCCTTTCAGTTTTTGCCCTTTTCTTCAATTTTTTATTTCTCACTGCAAAAAGTCCAAACTCTATAACCGCCTATAACAAACTCCATCTTATTTGTGTGTGTTTATATATAAAATAATAATAATAATACTCTCTGTGGAAAGTGTATATATAAAGTTATTTATGCTCGCCGGCGATGCCGACGCCGGTCAACGCAGCCAGGCAATGTTTGACGGAGGAAGCCGCGCGTGCTCTTGACGATGCGGTGGCAGTTGCTCGTCGCCGCAGCCACGCGCAGACCACCTCGCTTCACGTTGTCTCTGCTTTGCTCGCCTTGCCGTCGTCCAAGCTTCGGGAAGCTTGCACGCGCGCCGGGAGCTCCCCCTACTCGCCGCGTCTCCAGTTACGAGCTCTAGAGCTGTCCGTCGGCGTCTCCCTGGACCGGTTGCCTACTTCCAAAGCACTCGAGGAAGATCCTCCTGTGTCGAATTCTCTCATGGCGGCCATCAAACGGTCTCAAGCTAACCAGAGGAGGCATCCGGAGAGCTTCCATTTGTTTCAGATGCATATTCTGCAGAATCAACAGCAGCCAACGGCCTCACTCTTGAAAGTCGAACTCAAGCACTTTGTCTTGTCAATTCTCGATGACCCAATTGTGAGTAGGGTTTTTGGCGAAGCGGGTTTTCGGAGCTGTGATATCAAGCTCTCGTTGCTTCAACCGCCGGTGACACAGACTTCTCGGTTTCCCTGGAGCCGGTGCCCGCCCATTTTCTCATGCAATTTGCCTGGTTCCGAATCGGGTTCGCCCAGTTTCAAGTTTCCTTTCGTGGGAAATTCTGGATACGAAGGCGTGGATGAGAATTGTAGAAGAATTGGGGAGGTTCTTGTTAGAAAGACGAGAAGAAACCCCTTGTTGATGGGCATTTACGCGAAAAGTGCTCTTCGGAGTTTTACAGAATCGGTACAGAAAAGTCGAGAGGGAGTGTTGCCAGCTCAAATAGCTGGGTTGAATGTAGTCAGCATTGAGAAGGATATTTCTGAGATTCTTGATGAAGGTGGCAGTGAAGAGAAGATGGGTTTGAAATTTAAGGAATTGAGTCGCTCATTGGAGCAATACTCTGGTCCAGGTATCGCCGTGAACTTCGGAGAGCTTGACGTGTTCGTGCGCGAGGGCGTGCCTCATGGTGCTGCTAGCTTTGTTGTTTCACAATTGACAAGCTTATTGGGCGTTCATGGTGAGAAAATTTGGGTGGTGGGAATAGCTGGAACCTCAGATGTATATTCTAAGTTTGTAGCTCTGTTTCCAACTATAGAAAAGGATTGGGATCTACATCTACTAACTATCACATCTGCCACCCCTTCAATGGAAGGACTCTACCCTAAGTCCAGGTGAGTGTTCTATTTCTGCTCCGTTTAATTGTGTTTTTCGTTTCACTGTTCCTCATCGGGTTGGAATGAAGTAATGTGTAGAATCTAGAGCTTTACACGTTGCTGACATGATATATCATGTGTCATTGGAAAGGCAGTGGTGATTAGGAGTGTAAGATGGACTTTTTTGTCGAGAAAGTGTTGACATATACCCAGGTCATGGGTAAATAAATGATCAGATGAAATATTTAATGACTCTAACTGGCCTCTATTGCTGAGTACTTTCACTTATTTTGTCACTGGTTTTTAGGATCCAAATGCCATTTTTTTTTTTTTGGTAGTTGGCTTCTCTTTCTTGTCCTTCTTTTGGCCTGTTTCTGTGTATGTTCATTTGCATTTAGGTTAGTACTTTTTGTAGGGTTGCTTGCTTAAAGTGAAAACAGAAAAGGAAAATTTCTTTGTTTCCTTTTTTGATTCTTCTATATATTTGATTAAATCTCCCTTCTTTTTTACTAACTCTTCAACCTTCTCCCCTTAAGCTCTATGAAACCTCTATTTTATCCTTACCTATACGAGGAACTTGTTGCAGTGAAGTTTTAGTTTAAGATTTATATAGTGTCAAACGAGGGGCGAGCAATTTACCTGTATGATTTATACCCTTTGAGTGCATTAGCCATACGAAACAAGAAACAGTTACATTTCTATTATCTGTTGGCGCATATAATGCCACTTTAAGAGATATATTACAAAGCCTAAGAAGCTTTTATTTCGTATAGATGCTGTACTTTCTCCTGACTCTTGTTTTAAACTGGTTAGCCTGAATAGTAGTCTGTTATAAAATATTAGCTATAATTACTTCATTCTTTCTTTGTGATTGCTTTAGCTTCCGAGTGTTCTTATGCCCTTTGGGTCTCACAGTTCATGCTCATGATAACTTACAGCTTGATGGGGTCCTTTGTTCCTTTTGGTGGGTTCTTCTCTTCACCTTCTGAATTAAAAAATCCGCTAAGCTGTACAAATCAAAGTTTTATGCGATGTCACTCCTGCAATCAAAAGTATGAACAAGAAGTCGCTGATATTCTAAAAGTAAGTCCGGCAACTTTGGCATCTGGTTACCCCACAAATTTCCCTTGGTCACAAAAGGCTAGTGTGGAGACAGATCAAGGATTGGATGTGGCAAAGGTGTGTTATGATCGCTAAATTTTAGATTCTTGTACAATGCATGTAAAATTCTGAATTCACTCATTGTTACCCATATGAGAAAGACTCAAAGAATGATTACTCAGTGGTGGATCCATGGTGGGCCAAATTGCTGTATTAACGGCTAACCCGCAAAATTATCTTTGGGTCATCCTCTGTAATTGCATTTTGTATCAGTTGACATGCTGTATTTGATTCAATCATAATTGCATTTATACAAGGTTGAACTTCATCATCTATTGCAGAGTAATGAAGAAAATCCAGGTTTGAGTGCCAAGATCTTCGGGTTGCAAAAGAAATGGAGTGACTTTTGTGAAAGACTTCATCAAACCCAGTCAATACCTGAATTTGGTACTTCCCAAACAATGTCCAAAGTACCAGTCCTTGGGGGCTTTCCATTCAGTTCAAGTTTAAAAGAAAGTAGCAGCAAGCTTCCATCTTTTAATGAAAGTCAACATTCTCATGATGTTAATGTTCGTAGTTCACCTGACCAGGCAGCAAAAGTTTCAAAGATTCGGCATACTGATAAGCTGAGTCCCTGGATTAACCCTTCCTCTATGGCCAATACTGTGCTTGAGGGCAGATCATCTTCTTCCTTTACTTCCGTGACCACAGATCTGGGATTGGGGACAATATATGCATCGGCTGCTCAGGAGCCAAATTCCCGGGAACTTCAAAATCATAAAGAGCGCCTTCAGCTTTTGGATGATAATAATTTACACCAAAATGCTGGTCCCAGTTTGGAAGGGAAGTTTAAATCAGTAGATTTCAAGTCTCTTAGTCAAGTTCTCACTGAGACGGTTGGTTGGCAAGAAGAGGCCATATCTGCTATCATTCAAACCTTGTCCCTTTGTAACTCTCGTGGAGGAAAGCATCATGGCCAGCGTGTTAGAACAGACATTTGGTTTGCTTTCCTCGGACCTGATAGAGTGGGAAAGAAGAAAATTGCTTCAATACTTGCGAAGACAATATTTGGAAACACAGGAAGTCTGATCTCTTTGGATTTGAATTCCCAGGACAAGGCTTACTCACTAGACTCAATATTTGAAAGCCAGAATTCAAATCATTACGACATCAGGAGGAAAACAGACGTGGGCTTTATTGCTGGGGAGTTGAGTAAGAAACCCCACGCAGTTGTGTTTCTTGAAAATGTAGATAAAGCTGATATTTTGGTGCAGAATAGTTTGTTTCAGGCACTAAGAACTGGTAAATTTCCAGACTCGCATGGGAGGGAAATCAGCATTCATAACGCAATCTTTATTGTGAACTCAACTGTCTCTAAATGTAATGGCACTTCCCTTTCGGAGAAGGAGCCTACAATGTTTCCTGAGGAAAGAATCGTTGAAGCCAAAAGATTTCAAATGCAATTACTATTGAGAGAAATTTCTGTGGATGCCCCAGGGATCTGTGGCCCAAATGTTATTGTTACACCAAGCAAAGGGTCCTCTAAACAGACATTTCTGAACAAAAGAAAACAGGTCGAAATCAGTGACAACAAAGAGTGGGGCACAACAAGCAAGATACAGAAACAAGTCCAAGATGCATCAAGATCCTATTTGGATCTAAATATGCCTGTAGAGGAGTTTGAAGATGACATGGATCACAATGACAGTGTGGGTGAATCCAAAATTGAAGGCTCTCAATCTCAAGCCTGGTTGAATGATTTCTGTGATCAAACTGATGAAAAAGTGGTTTTCAAGCCACTAAATTTTGATGTGCTTGCCGAGAAAATAATGCAAAGCATCAGCACACAGTTTGAGAGGACATTCGGATCACAGTTTCTGCTGGAAATTGAGTATGAAGTGATGACACAAATGCTTGCAGCTGCTTGGTTATCAGACAAGGAAAATGCAGTGGAGGATTGGATTGAACATGTGCTTGGCAAAAGCTTCAATGAAGGCAAGCACAAATATCGCCCTTCAACAAAGTCTGCTATGAAACTAGTTTCCTGTGAAGGCATTCTTGTGGAAGAGCAAGTTCCTGGAGTGTGCCTTCCAGCTAGAATTAACTTCAACTAAAAATTTTTGGTCACTATGTATTATAGTAATTACTAGTTACATGTAAAATGTAGCTCTTAGTATATATATAGCATTTTGCAGGTGGGTAGCCTTGATTGGCTAATTGATTCACAGATTTTGTTTTGGGATAATAAATTTGTGTTGTAATTCCTAAGATAAATGAATGGGTAATCTTCCCAACAGTTCCATAGTCAGGGGCCTATTATTCTGTAGTTTCAACTTCTATATGATGGCATGACTTCCCCCACAAATGTCAGAAATAAATGCTCTAAGAGTGAAAGAGACACATGTTAAGACAACATTAAAGATTTTGTCCCTCTTTTCCCCTCACTCTAGAAAATTGAGATGACATTGACACCGTTAAATTTTACTGCAAGGTTGAAGGAAATGTCGTACGTGGATAGGATATTGAATCAGCGGTTGAACTGGCTTCAATTGAAACGATACTTTTTAAAATAATACATGTAAAAAAAAAAAAACTTAGACGGTAAAAAAACAATACATATTTTTAAAGTATTTTTTTAAAAAATTTTTTTACATGTTAATGGACATATGGCCGGTTCTCAATCTGACGGGTTGAATTGGCTATTTTGATTCAATCCTAGCTACACAAATTAAATAAATCATTAAATTAAAATTAAATTTTGTTGGTTAATCACTTAAACATCCTTCGTTTAAAAAAAAAAAAATCTAGGACAATCACACTTAAGACCTTCAAAATCAAAATAATTATGTTGCAAGCTCTTTCAATTTTGAAAAAAATTGTTTAGGCAATAATGACAATAATGCCCTTTTGTTTTTAAGTATATGTTCACATATTTACAACCAAACACTCACTTATTTACAAGTAAAAATTCACATATTCACAACATGTTCACACATTGGCCAGCATTGATTCACATATTCATAACTACAACTTTATATATTTATAATTATATATATTCACACACTCACAAATTCAATTTCATAATTAGCAAATATGTAAACATGTTATTGTGAATACGTGAATCCATACTTATAAATTAGTAAACGTTTGGTAATAGATATGCCAACATACACTTGTGGTATGGACATTGTATCATTTCAGCGAAAAGCTTATTTGCAGAGTTGACACTTGAGGCTAGACTGTTATTTTGATCTATAGTGTAATTATTTTACTCCAGAGAACTCTGAGTGCCATTCCCCAAAAAGCACTACAACCCTGTCGCCAGCATTGGGCTCACTAGTAGTGACAACCACTTAAATCATCCAAATGTTACAGAAATCGTCCAAAATGGTCAAGGTGGGATTTTTGAACCTACCACCTTTGGTTCACAACAAAAGTTATAAACTCAAAGAAACTAATACTTGTTGATTTTACGATAAAATATTACACACACACACACACAATAAGTTTAGTGCCGAAACCAATAAGTGTAGTTACATTTAATTAAGTAACATTTAATCAATTTACCCAGTGAAACTTCTTAATAAGGTCCAACATGCAGAAGGTTCAATATTTTGCTTTTGTGAAAATAAACAATGTTCTCTTAACCCAAAATAAAAACAAAAATAAAATAAAATAAAATAAAATAGAAAAGGGGGGTAGAGTTGCAGTCTAGCTGTGAAGAACCAATAGAAATGTTTTTTTGTGCAACAGCAGATGACGTTGGACCAACGTCCTAAGTCCTAACAAGACAAAAGAACGGTTGCCGGAGAACCACGTCATCACAAAAAATGCGACATGAGAAATATAAAAGGGAAAATTTCATTACTCGATCAGGGATATGATATTATTTCACGTAAGTCCCAAAGGATTTCCAAATTACACTGCAGAACCAAAATATTAAATTGAAATTATATTTTGTAGAGCGATGACTAAATACCTTTTAATTATTATTTTTTCTAAAAAAACATCCATCCACTATTGCTAGAACTTCATCAGCCGGGCCACTACTAGCAGAATAATTCCTTAAAAGTGACCAAGGAAGTTTGAACTTATAATCCATTAATTTACCAAAAACAATATAACCACCAGGCTATTTATAGCCTTTAATTATATGATACAAAAAATTATATATAAAATAAATGAAGTCTTCAAACCGAAACCAGGGTGAACATGTTATTTTAGTAATGTTATTTGTTAATGCAATAAAAAAAACTTGTTACAATATATTTTGCATATTTATTTGTTAAAATCATAACTTAATTTATTGTTTTAAAGAAAAATTAATCCTTTAATCTTTAAAGTTTTGACTCACTTACAACTTAATTTCTCGAGTATAACTTGGTACAAAATCCTTTAGCTTTTCATCATTTATAATTTTATCTTTATCGTCCATAACTCATTATGAGTTAGCACCAAGTCATCCTACATGGCAAAAATATCAATAATACCATTAAAAGAATACATATAGAAAAAAAAATTGGACTATGAAAAAAATAACATGTTCTTTAAAGTATTTTATGAAAAAAAATGTTTTCACATGTTAATGGATATGTGGCCAATTCTTGATCTGACTGGTTGAATTGGCTAGTTTGATTCAGTTCTAACTATACAAATTAAATAAATGATTAAATTGAAATTAAATTTATTGCTCAATTGCAAAAATAACCTTCGGTTAAAAAAAATCTAGGGACAATTGTACTTAGAGTCCTTAGAAGCAAAATAAATATATTGTAGGCCCTTTCAATTCTTAAAAATTGTCTCAACCCAATGACCCTCTTTGCAAATAAAATTTTCATTGAAAAGACAAGAATGCTCCTTGTTTTTTAAGTATATGTTCATATATTTATAACCAGACACTCACTTATTTGCATGTTAATATGTGAACATGTGAGTTTGTGAATCTAGGCTAACGAATATGTGAACATGTTGTCATAAATATATGAACAAATACTTGTGAATTAGTAAATGCTTGATAGTAAATGTGCGAACATATACTTGTAACAGGGGTATTATTGTCTTTTTAGCTAAAAATTTATTTGTAGAGATGGCCCTTGGGCCTAGATAATTTTTTCAAAATAAAAAGGATTTGTAGTGTAATTATTTCATAGGACTCTAAGTATGAACTCTATGGCTAGGAACATGCAAAAGGTTCAACACTTTGTGTAAAAGGTGTCCTAAATTAAGACTTAATCATCAGACCAACTATAGTAAATCAAGAACTAACCCAAAAGGATTATCCTATAAGAGATTAATCTAAATAAATTCTTAACATTTATTTTCACAAATGATTCAATATAAAGGGATCCTAAATTTTTAAAATATTTCAAGAACTCATATCATTCAATTAAACATATGCGAAGCATGATAAAGGAATACATCAACATGGAAGAAAAGCTTTCCCCTTTATTTTCTCTCTATGCCTTACTCCACAATACATATATATATTTACAACATAACACTTGACCACTCAAACCCTTCCATAACTAATAGCGGGGGGCCAAGGTTTCAATCACATTTATCATAATGACTATTACCTAATTATCATACTCTATATATTATCTATTCATCAATAGCCCATCATATGCATGAATTTCTCTTTTCATTCATATATAATTAATATCAACTGCTCACCCTTGGACATAAAAAATACAAGGAAAGACCATAACACCATTCAAGTTCTCAAATTAAACAAATATTAACTATTTCCACTTGCACAAAATATTTTGGCCCGTTAATATAGCATAAGCATCAAACCACATCCCCCAGGGCCCAAAATATATTTTCACCCAACACAAAACCCATAATACAAGTAGATCAAGAGTATATTATCTTAGTTGGCAATATCATAAATTAAATACACATATCAAAATAAAAAGAAAAAGGCCTACAGAAGTGATTACTATCACTTGGCCTAATGCTCCTTTCCTTTGTTCTTTTGAGATGAGCTAGCTCTTGTAATATGTTAAAAGAGAGGGGTGAGTACAACTACTCGGTAACCAATGTACATTTAAGTTATACAAATGCATGATAATTAATTACGAATGCAAGTGGCTAATAAATTTATCAAGGTGACCATGTAAACAATCACATTAATAACATGTTAATCACATTACCATTTAACTCATGTGAATAATCTCAAGAGTAAAGTCGAGTACAAAGTTTGCACAAATGGCCACATATACATTATTCACATAATTACTACATGTTTTCATTTCCACAATTATAATCATATCCTTAACATAGCCATCAATCATTCAAATGGAATGATAATAATAATATGCATGATCAATCTTTCCTTTATATCCCCCCTTATTTCCTCTAACATGAAATCTATGGGCTAACAACTAGAAGGGATCGTCTATGTGGTGAGACTACCCAAGGCCTTAATCATATCGTGAGGGGCTACTGGGTCAGGGTTACCTTACTCACTCATGAACACGGTTTTCCCCAAATCACACACTATGCGGTGTCATACCCAAAACTAACTCTATCCAAAACTCCAGATAGGCCAGCAGGGTCAAGTCCCTTAATAGGAACAATGTTACAATACCTTACATGGTAAGTAGCGGCTATAAACCCTAGGATTATTGGTTAATAGTCAAGTACCATATGGATTTTGTATAACCACTAACTCCTTCACTAAGGCAAACTCCTGCCATATGATAATGCTCATGAGAAAATGTATTTCAAAAACTCATATATATAATTCATAATTTTCCCACATGCTCATCAACTTTCTTGCTCAATAAACATCAAGAATCATCATATTTCAATCATGTCTCTTGTATCAATTTTTATATTATCACATAAAACCATATTAGCATCATATAAAACTCAACATGCTCATACAATTCATCATTATGCATAATCCACAACTTATAACCATGAGTGTACACATCATCATCAACCATCAATCTCATTACTCACACCAAGTCACAATTAACTTGGTCACAAGTCATAGAGTCTCAACAAAGCCACGTGCATTACAAACAACCATTTCAAAATTTAGACACACACACACACACACACACATATTCTTTTATTTCACCAACATAATTAATTAAGTAACATACAAATGTATAAAATAAATTTTCCTCAGTTACCTTAACCTTTGAGAGGTTCAAGGTTACCCTTAAGTTACAATACTTCTAAAACTTTCTAAGGCTTGAATGGTGTTAAAAGGAAATTAATTTACAATTGATCATATCCCAATGTGTCAATAATATTATTAACACAATTTTCACTCATACTCTAACACCTAAGTAT